CTTCCTTCCTTCCTTCCTTCCTTCCTTCCTTCCTTCCTTCCTTCCCTCCCTCCTTCCTTCCCCTTCTTTCTCTTTCCCCTTCCTTCCTTCCTTCCTTCCTTCCTGCCTGCCTGCCTGCCTGCCTGCCTGCCTGCCTTCCTTCCTTCCTTCCTTCCTTCCCTCCCTCCTTCCTTCCCCTTCTTTCTCTTTCCCCTTCCTTCCTTCCTTCCTTCCTTCCCTCCCTCCTTCCTTCCCCCCTCCCCCCCCCCCCCCCCCCCCCCCTCCCTCCCTCCCTTCCTTCCTTCCTTCCTTCCTTCCCTCCCTCCTTCCTTCCCCCCTCCCCCCCCCCCCCCCCCCCCCCCTCCCTCCCTCCCTTCCTTCCTTCCTTCCTTCCTTCCCTCCCTCCTTCCTTCCCCCCTCCCCCCCCCCCCCCCCCCCCCCCTCCCTCCCTCCCTTCCTTCCTTCCTTCCTTCCTTCCCTCCCTCCTTCCTTCCCCCCTCCCCCCCCCCCCCCCCCCCCCCCTCCCTCCCTCCCTTCCTTCCTTCCTTCCTTCCTTCCCTCCCTCCTTCCTTCCCCCCTCCCCCCCCCCCCCCCCCCCCCCCTCCCTCCCTCCCTTCCTTCCTTCCTTCCTTCCTTCCTTCCTTCCTTCCTTCCTTCCTTCCTTCCTATTTCATTCATTCTCCCCTCCTTACTTCATCTCTTTCTCTTCCTCCATCTCTTTTTCTTCCTTTCGTCCATTCCTTCCTTCCTTTTTGCTTTGTCTTTTCCACTCCTTCCAGCAGGCTGCTAGGAAGTGGGAAAAACTTCTCTTGGCAGAGATATCTATACTGTATGCTAAAAACGAAGTGAATAATGTTCAGCTTTGTGTTGCCAGTCCCAGGCCAATAAAGGTGTTTCACACAGCGCTCCAGTGGGCTCTTGTTCCACATGCAGTAAAATTGGGGGTAGGAAGTCTGCTCTGCATCCAGAAGATGCCAGGTTGAGCTCCTGGGATTTCCAGCTGAGATGACTGAGGCTTCCCCTCCCTCCTTTTAACTATCTGCCTTGCCTTCTCTTCTGATTCTCTCCTTCTTCCTGTCTGAAAGGATATGCCGGTGATTGGGAAAAGCGGGCGGAGCTTCCAGTACAACCAGGACATTGTGGTGCTGCTCCTGATGGACGGGGTGCTGTTCCACCTTCAAAGCGTCACAGCTTACGCTTTGATGGGCAAGATTTCCCCAGTAACTTTCAGGTAAAAAAAAAACCGACCACGTGGTCTTCACTGGGTAAGAAACTCCTTTATTTCAGCAGTAGATTTACAAGGAACCCATTAGGTGACTTCATCGAGGTTGGCAAAAGTTCCGGGGTTCCTTCTCTATCCTGGGACCCTCCAGGGCAGCTGGACTACAGCTCCCATCATCCCTGCCTGTACAGCAAGGGCTGTAGCTTGTCTTGTTTTGGCAGAGGCGTTTAAAATTGCGCAGAGCAGGAGAGCAACAGAGCAGAGTTTTCCTTCCTCTCTCCGTGTGTTAACATTTGCAGCTGTATGTGAGTTTCCTGGGTGGGTCTGACTGTCTCCTCCTGTTTTCGTGTCCTTCCCCAGTGTTGCCAGCACGGTGAAGCACGCCCTGTCCATCTGGCTAAGCATCATTGTCTTTGGAAACAAGATCACTAGCCTCTCGGCCATCGGGACAGTGCTGGTAATCATTGGGGTCCTGCTGTATAACCGAGCAAAGCAGCACCAACAGGAAACCCTCCAGAGTCTGGTGGGAACAGCCACAGCCCTCCAGCTGTCTCCAGGTGTAAAGGAAGACACCGAGCCGCTCATTTCCAAGGACTCCCATCCATTCGAATGAGACCTCCTCCTGCATCTCTTCTGCCTTAACTTTGCTGCGCTGACGTTTAGAGGAATGGTATTTTTCTTTCGAAGTCCTCGGGATTAGCTGTGAATGCTACCCAAGGCCCGTTGCGCTCACGGTAAGAAAGATGGGAGGCAAGACGAGGCGAGAAACAGAAGCATCGGATGGAAGAGCCCTTCCTACGTCGGCTTTGCACTCTGCTGCCGCTATATACAAGCCTGTCTGAAAGCCACTTTGGGTGCATCTCCACCAGAGCAATGTAAAATCCAGCAGAGTTTGCCACAGATGCCCAGTGGGCTCAAACCGTCTGCTGCTCCACTGATCATTTGAATTTCTTTGCCTGCGCGTGTGAAGGGAAAGCAAAAGTCTGCTTGATCCATGTATTGGCCACTGTCCACCCCTACGGTGGTCCAACCTCCCAAGGGAATCATCTTCTGAAGTCTCAAAACGGCAAAATGTCTTTTCAGGGAGCCACAGGATTTCATAACCACTAGCATAGTGTGCATCCAATGTGCCCCCTCCCAGGGACATCCTCTGCTAAGCCACAGTCCTAGACATCAGTGGGAATCTCTGGATGGAACTTTCTGAAGATGTTCTGCTGCGATGTCATCAGTGTTCTGAGCAAAGGTAGTCTCTGTCACAGCCACTCCAACCAAGCTAAAATTTCAGGTTTCCCTGGAATGGACCTTGTTGAATGGTTTGTGGGGAGAGCTGAGAAACATTTTGCACAGATGGTAAGGGAAAGACTGCCCAAACTTTATTTTATTTTATTTCTGTACCGCTTGAGGGCAGGCGATCAACCCCGTCAACTTTGGAAATCAGGATGCCTTGCTAATAGGAATCAAGAAGTGATTTGGGGAAAGGCACACTAGAAACGGTTGTTTCTAGTTTCTCCTGAATTTAAGGATAGACTCATTTGGGATTGTAAAATGAAGAGGGAATGGTGTATTGGGTATTGTCCTGGATTATGTGGTATGATGCTGTTAAGCAACCAGATTGCCAGAAAGCTGCTGGAGAAGGAAATGAGATTTAGTCGAGGAAGGCCCTCTCTCCAAACGAATGCTGAGAATCCCGTTACGACTGTGGGAAGCTGTCCTTATCTCTAGCCTCTGGCACCATTGAGTTAATTCCTTCCTCCTTTACTGCCATTCCATCAATGTCCTCGTGACCAGTATTGATAGGCAAGGGCCAAATTGTGCTCCCAGGCTGTTAGCTTCTTACCCGGAAGTAAAAAGTGAACAGCCACCGAACCATGGAGACTCCTGTGAATTGAGCAGCTTGAAGCTCTCAACCTGTCTACATCATCTTTTCTATAGTCCAGAGGAACTAAATGTGGTCCAATGTTAATTGTAGGAAAAATAACGTTTACACCCAGCACGTTAATATGTAATGTATTTTCATTTCAAAAATCCATCGCATTTGAAATGAATGTATTTTGAAATGTATTTTCATTTCAAAAATACATCACATTCCACATTTCCTGACTTGTCAGCCAGGAAACTAAATTTGCTGCCCGACTCCAAATTTTTTTTCCCCTCTTCCCCCCCTCCCCTCTGTTTTCTTAGCCTTTGCGCTAAAATGGTAAAGCAAACGATGCTTTGTGTAAGAGAATACGCAGAGCGCTGGACTTTGGATGCAAAATTTCTCAGGCGGAATAGGCTCCTGCTGTTTGTCCCTCTGAAATGGCGAAACATGTTCTCTTTTCCTGGGCAAACTTGAAGGCAAACCTTTTACTGGTGCTTTTGTGTTGGGGCCAAATCGTCAATGTTTCGGATGCCAGAATAAGACTGAAAACAGTCAGATATTCAGAGACTGACTTAAGAAAGCGGGTGGCCTTGCTTTCAAGCATCATCAACCGGGCATCACTCTGATGACCACTTTAAAATCTTGACTAGACCAATCCTGTGGATGACCTTTCATGACCTGTGTAAGACGCAAATGATTTCCGATGTGCTTGTTGTTAAAGGGTTTTTTCCCCCCAGGAAAGAAACTCGCAATGGGGTGTAATCTGTATCTGTTTTCTGTTTTCTTCTCCGAAGTCTGCATTGAATAAATAAAAATTAAAAGTCACTGAATTTGCATCGGTTTCTCTTTCGGCATCAAGCGGGATTTTTCTCCTGTGACACTTTTATAGAGATGTTGAACTGCGTGGAATTAATGGGATAAATGTATGGATGCAGAGCAGTTGAGGCAACTGCAACGGATACGCTGCCAGTCAAAATTAAAATGAAAGCTGGAGCGTCACTTTTTGTTCAGAAAGCCATTTGAAAATACACCCAACTCCTCCAGCTTGCTAAACATGTGGAAAAACTGCTTTTGATGGCATTTCTTTTAGGTATAATGGGTTAGGCCCGTGTTTCTCAAACTTGGCAACTTTAAGAAGGGGGGGGATTTCCAACTCCCAGAATTCCCAGCCGCTGGGGAATGCTGGGAGTTGGAAGCCCTCACTTCTTAAAGTTGCCAAGTTTGAGAAACACTGCTTCAGTTGTTTCTCAACAGCTTTGAAAACATTTTATTTTGAAGGGTGGGATTTTTTTCACACACAATAATAAAAAGGTTAAAAAGCAGGACTTTTGTAGCAGCTTTCGTTGACTAAACAGTCTAAGAGCGATTCCTGAATTTCTCCTTTGAGTTTTATGGGAAGCTCGCACGCTCCTTGGCGGTTACGAGCAACAAGGAACCGGGAAGTCGGACAGATTTGGCGACTCTTCGTTTTAACTCTATGACCGTTTTCCATCTGAGGTCTATGAACAGCGCTCATTTCTGCCTTGGGAGGAAGGAGAGAGGGAAAAAGAGATACGTAACCCGGAAGTATGGTAAGCGATGTGACTCTACACTTTCGAAGATCTATGAATCCTCGAGCTTCCATTGAAATGCCTCTACGGCGGCGGGAAATGCTCTCGCGTGACGTCACCCGCCCGCGCCGGATGTGAAGCGCAGGCCAGACGCCGAGCTTCCGGTCACTCAATCTACGGCAAGTGGGTCGTGTGGAAGCGGCGGTGGCGGTGCCAGGGGCGAGAGGGAAGGTGAGACCGACGTGTTGCGGGGCCCTGCTCCGTTTCTCGCACCCTCAAGCCCGGGGAGGCGGCTCAGGGAGCGGCGGCGGGGCGGAAGGGAGGCCTTCGGATAGAGAGGCGGCCGCTGAGGGTGGCCTACCTCAGAGGGCCGGTGTTATGGCGGCCCACGTTGGAGGAGTGGTGTTCGGCGGGGCGGCCCGTCGTGGTATTTCTGTGGGTTTATTATTATTTCTTGGGAGCTTCAATCTTACTCCGCTGTTTTAAGCTTGGCGAAAACTGAGGTGGGGGTTTTCCTCAGCGTCTCCCCTGAATACCAGGCCCTTTTATACTAAAACGCGGACATTAATGAGGAGACCCGAGTTGAGATCCACCCTCAACTATGCGAGCTCCCTGGGGGACTTTGGGCCAACGGGGCTCTCCCAGCCTAGCCTACCTCACAGGATTGTTGTGGGGAAAGCAGGAGGAACGCGCGCTCCGTATGCTGCCTTGGGCTGAATTCAACGTGTGATGTAAATTTAACATAGAAATAAAAAGCCCACAGGTCCAGTTCCAAATAACCTGCAGGAGAAACTGGTTGCCCAACACAAAGATGGACTGAAATTCCCCATAAATTGGGCAACAGACTGAAAAGCATCTTCCTACGGCCATAACAACGAACAGCACTGAAAATGGCCATAGATGCATCGCTCAGAGCTGATGAGCCGCTAAACTGTGGCTTCGTTTTGGCCTTTGCGTTTTTAGATAGCGCCCCCGGTGAAGCTGTCGGTGTGGATGACGGTGACTTGCGATGCTGTCTCACTGCATGGTTGTGTCCTCTCGTAGTGCCTTTTGTAACACAAATGGGTGATGAAAAGGAATCTTGGAAGGTGAAAACGTTAGATGAAATTCTTCAGGAGAAGAAGCGCCGGAAGGAGCAGGAGGAGAAGGCAGATATAAAGCGCCTCAAAAATGTGAGTTTGGGATTTCGTGTTGTGAGAGTTTTTTTAAAGACTCCCTTCTGCAACTTGCACAGCGACTCTTTTTGAGAATAAGTTGGGGGCAGGTCTTTTTAAAAACGTGCATGTCGCGTGTGTTCGTTTCCATGATATGACAATGCTCAGCACTTTTCACTTTCTCTGTTTAAGTTGATTAGTGCTGTTTCCAGAAAGCCAAAATGAATCTTTTCTTCCTAACCCATCCTAGTCTGATGATCGGGACTCAAAGCGGGATTCCCTTGAAGAGGGAGAGTTAAGGGATCACCGTATGGAGATCACTATCAGGAATTCACCTTACAGGAGAGAAGATTCAATGGACGACAGGTGAGAAAGCAACTACTGGAATGCAGGAAAAGTTAACAAGTATAGCCATATATTGCTTCTTCATTTGAAGGACTTTTCAGTCCCTGACCCCCAACTTCCCAGAGTGCCTTGCAAAAAAAAAAAAAAAACTCTCAGGATGAGCTAGCCTGTTTCAGAAGAGAAGCCAAAAATTGTTGGGTCTGTCGGGGAGCAACAGGAACAGCCTGGGGTGGGGAGGGAATACTTCAAGCAGGGGGATGGCTAGCCCCATTGTGGCCAGCTGTCCGCAG